GAGTTTACGTTAATGACGTGATTCTTGGAGGATAGGGGCTGGTTGCCAGAGGAATTAGCTGGTGATGAGAGGGTTAGAACTTTCAGCCCCGCCCCCTACCTCTGGGGAGGGGCTGGAGATTGAGTGAATCACCAATGGCCAATGATTTAATCAGTCATGCCAACATAATGGAACTGCCATAAAAACCCCTACACGACAGGGTTTAGATTACTTCTGGGTTGGTGAGCACATCCACGTGCCAGGAGGGTGGTACACCCCAACTCCACAGAGACACAAGCTGCTGTGCTGGGGACCCTTCCGGACCTTGCCCTCTACCTCTTCACCTGTATCCTTTTTAACAAACTGAATAGTAAGTAAAGTGTTTCCCTGAGTTCTGTGAGCTATTAAAGCAAACTATCCTGAGGATGGAGTTGTGGGAACCCCCGATTTGTAGCTGAGCTGGACAGAAGTGTGGGTAACCTGGGGACCCACTACTTGTGTGGCATCTGAAGTGGGGGACAGTCTCTGGGACTGAGCCCTTAACTTGTGGGGTCTCTGCTAACTCCAAGTAGTTAGTGTGAGAAGTGAATTGAATTGTAGGACACCCAGGTGGTGTCCACAGAGAACTGGACAATTGCTTGGTGTGGAAAACCCACACATTTGGTGTCAGAAATGTTGTGAGTAAAGAAACGGTTTTCTTTTACCCGCTGCTTTTCTCAGAGGCATACCTCAATCCCCAAGTGGACGTCCTATGGTAGGGCATTGGTCTTGGACCCCCCTAGTGCAGGCAGTGATGTCTTACCTCCAGCAGAGGGCGTGTTCCCCATTCTTAGGGACTCCAAGCTCCCGATCCAGGCTGCCTAAGAAATAGGGCTTCGGCTTAGCCCACAGAGGGTCCAGTCTTTCATTTAAAGATTTAAACATGTACTTAAGACCTTAGTTACCTTTCCACATCCCTCTGGGGAGACTGCCCTTGTCTGATCACTTTCTTTTGGAAACACTCTTTCCTGGATGGACTCTGAGGTTCCTGCAGCCAAAACTATAAACTTGACTTCGGTCACATGATGACTTTAACTAATGAGCCAAGGGACCATAGACTAAACAGGAATACTGTCCTTACAAAACAAATGAAAACACCAGCAAAGGTTTATTTATTTATTTTTACAGTTCTCAAAGTGGCCTCAAATTTCTAACTTTTCTTACAACAAAGAGAGATTCTTTTTAAAAAAAAATCTTTGAACATTTTCCATCATTCGAATTTGTAGGTCCCTCCCACAAACACACACACACATCTCAGGTGGAAAAAAAAGAGCAGTCTCTTGGGGCTGGCCCGGTGGCGCAGTGGTTAAGTTCGCACATTCTGCTTCGGCAGCCCAGGGTTCACCTGTTTGGATCCCGGGTGTGCCCATGGCACCGCTCAGCAAGCCATGCTGTGGTAGGCGTCCCACATATAAAGTAGAGGAAGATGGACATGGATGTTAGCTTAGGGCCAATCTTCCTCAACAAAAAGAGGAGGATTGGTAGCAGATGTTAGCTCAGGGCTAATCTTCCTCAAAAAAAAAAAAAAAAAAAAGAGCAGTCTCTGGTCATGGTTGGGTTCTCCAGAACATGGTCTCTAAGTCAAGAGAATGGAGCCAGAGTGGGCAGAGGGAGATTGGAGCCTGCGATGCAGACCCCATGCCACCCCAGCTAGCCCCATGGGTGCTCCGGAGCTGGAGCTGTCATGAGCTGGGCTGGGAGGGTCAGGCCCCAGACTCCTCCATAGACCAGTCACTGGATCAGGCTGCCCAGAACGGCATGCCCTTGGTGAGGTGGCTTTCTGAAGGAGTTGGCCCTGAAGGCTGTCCGCTGGCCGGTTCGCGGCAGCCGGGGGAACAAGGCCTTCACTGAAGACGGCAATCCAACTGGGGGGGTGGAGGCCACAGTGTCCCTTCTGCCGCCTGCCAGGACTCGTCGGATGTCAGGACGCTGTGCCCGCCCTGCTGGCTCTTGGCTCAGCCTAATGTTTCTTTGAGCAGATCCTCTGCTTACAGGCCTATCTCTCAGTGGCAGAACACACACCCCAAAAGATAGTTGTGGATCCTAGAGAAACGCTGGTGGTTGTCAGGCGTTAACCCTGGCATATAAAGGAGAAGGAGGGAGGAGGCGCCAGCTTTGTAGGGGTGAGTTTATATCTTTGTGTTGCTTCAGTTCTCAACACCAAAGAGCACCCTGCATACACCGCCGCCCCGTGACTCTGACAACCGCTCATTCTTTGTCCCCATTTTCTGTCCCTGTTAAGCCTCTCTTCCCAATACTGCTCCCCTTGTTCAGTTTCCGTCCATCCAACACAGTGGCGCACGTGCCCATGATGGGCTGGATCGCTGCCGTGTGCTGACCGCTCCTGCGTCTTAGGAACTGCTTCCCCTCGACTGTGGAATGGGGCCTTTCCCAAGCTGCTCTGTTAGGCTCTTCCTTTCTCGTTCTGGCCGTTTTAACCAGAGCTGGTGTGCACCTTCTTCGGTCCGTCTTGGACTCCTCAGCCCTGAGTGTGTAGCCCTGACCTTCTCCCCAGGTGTGCTGGCCTGTGGGTCCCACCTGCAGAGAAGCTGTGCTGCCAGGCAGATTTGCCTACACAACTGTTTATCCCACAGAAAGAGGAAGGCCGGGAGTAGCAAGGAGAGTGGGTCCTTGGCACATAGCTCCATAGAACCCTTCTGTCATAATAATCACAGTGATCGCTAATGCTCATATAGCACTCCGACTATGTGCCGGGCGCCTGACTCATTGACTCATTTATCCTGACAACAGCTGATGCAGTAGGTACTGTTATTATCGTCATTTTACACATGAGGAAACTGAGGCACAGGGAAATGATGGTAACACAGCTAGTAGGAGCTAGAGCCAGGCTTCAAGGCAGCCTAGGCCCCAAGGCCATGCTCTTTCCCATTCTGCCAGCTTTAACACCCAAAATGGTGTTGGCCCAGCAGCCCTTCCTGTGGATATCCCCTAATTCTGGGCTGACCCTGGCCCTAGAGGTAGGTGTGAGGCCAGGACAGGCGCTGAGGTATTTCATTTCTGTGGCCTCAGTGATTGGTTCTGGAGAGAGTGGGAACCGAGCCAGGCCCGGCAGTGTCCCTCTCTCAGGGACTCTCCTGCCAGAGCCAGCGAGAACAAGGGCCTCTCTCTTTCCAGGAAGGTGGCTGAGTCTCCTGAGAATGGAGCTAGCACAGCGGGCGGAGCTGGAAGGACAGACAAAGCCCTGAGGACAAGGCTGAGCCTGGGTCTGGCCATGCCCACACCCGCTGGCCAGTCAGCTAATCCCTCCCCTGGGTCTGGTCTGAGTTTGGCTTCTGTCCCTTTCCATCTTTGCTTCGTCTTTGCAGTCTCACTGTCTAGCAGTGTGTGGCACTTACCTGGTTCAAAAAATAGTTGAGATCATGAATGAACACCTTTGGGGTCTGCCCTGGCAGCGTGCCCACCTGCTCTCTGCTCTGGGCTCTGTTCAGCTTTAGCTGCTTGTCCGCCCTCCCCAACAAGCGCCCCTCCCACCTGCCTCAGCTTTTGCGCTTATTGCCTCTGTCGGGGGACACACTTCTCTCTTTTTAGGTCTGATTCAGTCGCTTCTCGGGGAGGCCCTGATTACTGGGATCTGAACTGACAATTTCCCTCCTCTCAATTCTTTTCTTTCACTACGTGGGGACAGTCACGTCTCCCCTACAGGAAGTGGCAGCTCCTCCAGGAAGGGATAGACACCCCTGGTTCTTCTTTGCATCCCCTGGGGCCTAGCCTGAGACTTCCTCACATGAGCAGGGTAGTGGTGGCAACCGTGTGCCTCTGGGGGCCAGGCAGGTGACACCAGTCACTGATGCAGGTCAGGAGGTCTCTCGAAAGTGGGCAGCTCAGCTGCCGGTTGCCCTGAAGAAATAAGGCCCCTAGGTTTTTCAAGGGAAGCAGAAATCCATATTTTTATGTGAAATCTCCTGGTTTTTAAATGTTAGCAATTAGTTGACAATTTGAGAAACTCTGGGGTGGGCAAACAAGCCCATCCATGGGCTAGTTTGGCCAAGGGGATCCATTTGGAGACTCTGCTGGGAATGAGGAACAGAATGAACGAATCCACAGGCAGGGCTGCACGTGAAGGTGTGTGGGCGGTGACCTGCAGAAGGCGCCCGGCCAAGGGCAGGAGAGGAGTCGGGGCTGATGTCCAGCCAGAGCTTCACTCACCAAGTCACGTGACTGGTGTGGCATCGCGTCCAGCCAGAGGGTGGGCTGGTGGCTCCCCTTCCAAGGTGGATGGAATCCCAGACAAGAGTAAAAACCGTGCAGAGACCTGAGTCTAGGGGACCAACTCATCCTGGTTTGCCTTGGGTTTTCCCGGTTTTAAATCTGAAAGTCCTACATCACAGGAACCCTCTTCGTCCGAGGCAAACTGGGACGGTTGGTCACCCTCCCTAGATCCCTGTTCCCACCGTGTCTCCAACCCATCAGAGAATAATAATGGCAGCTGAAGTGTGTGAGCTCATTAAGTGCCAGACACCGAGTGCTAGCACCTGCAGTATTTCCTTAGGTCTCATGACCTCTGCTTGGAGCGGAGTCTTGTCTGTCCTACAGATGACAGTAGGAGGTTCAGAGGGCGAAGTGACCGGCCCAGGGCCAGTAGCCGCACTGGGGTTTTAACCTACATTGGTCTGGCTCCGTGCTCTCTCTCCCACTCTCGGAGAGCCCCAGCAGGGCGGCCTGAGCCCACTAGGTCAGTAGGCCCCGGGGAAGGCGCAGGTCTCACATCCTCAGGAGCGCGCTGACCCGGTTGGAGGTCCAGCCGGGATCAATTTTTGCAGGTGTGAGACCTCCACATCTGGCCCCCCAGCCCTGCCCAGCCTCTTCCCTTTCTGCACTTTGGCCCCCAGCCCCTGAATGGGCCAACCCAAGAAGCCCTCAGAGGACCTCTTTCTGTTTCCAGAACACCCTAGCCCGCTCCTGTCCCTCTGCCCTGTGCCTGCTGCATGGACAGGGGATAAGCTGGCGCTTAGAAAATAAACTCTTGCCGCTGATTTATTGCCTGGTCTGGGGAGAGCCGTCCAGGGTAGGGGGGGCAAGGGAGCAGGGCCTAAGGGTCCCTGGGGTCTCAGAGGCTGCTGAGCCCGACCCCTCCAGCGCAGGGTCTAGCTGCAGTTGGGGCCGGCCTGGGCCCAGTGTGGGGTGAGGTGGCTGGTCAGGTAGCGCACAGCCGAGTGGATGCCCTCGACCGTCCTTTGCTCCACCCTCTCCAGCATGTGGGTGATGGAGCGCAGGGCTGAGCTGGTCCCCGCCACCAGCCCGGAGGAGAAGGCTGCGCTGGCATTCCCCAGGATGCTGGAGATGGAGCGCAGGCTGGGCCCTGTGCTGTACAGCAGGTCTGTCACAGAGCCACGGCCGGAGGCCAGGAAGCCTGTGGCCATGCCCATGGTGGTCTCAGACCACACCAGGATGTCTGCCAGGGAGCTGATGGATCCCTCGCCCCCACCCAGCAAGCTGGTCATGGAGCGCATGTAGTTGTTCTCCTCGCTGGCTGTATACAGGCTGGAGTCCAGGGGCCTCCTCCCCAGGGCCACCACATGAGGGGCAGGCGAGGGTGGGGCACTGCCTCCTGGGGAGGGAGGCAACAGCCCAGGCTGCAGGTCTCCTGAGCGGGCCACCAAGTCGTCCTCAGTCACTGTGTGGGACTTGGCTGATGGCAAAGCCTCAGTGTCAGCGTTCAAGGCCTTCGGACCATCAGGTTTCTCCTTGACAGCTTCAGTGACACCAGAGGCCCCAGTGTCAAGCTGGTCAAAGGCGTCTGCAGTGCTCACAGCGGGCTGAGCCTCCACATTTTGGGGGGCCCATACCTGAGCACTTGGGGTCGTTGGAGATAGTTCCTGCTCCCTGTGTGGGATACTTGCCATTTGTGGTGTCTTTTCCTTCCCCAGGGAGTCATGTTGGAAAGCCCTGGAACTCTTAGTCATCCTCAAATTTTGCACCAGCCCACCCCATCCTGCGTTCTGGGGGCTTACAGATATTTGCAGAGCTTCTGGGGCTGGGCGGGCAAGCAGCGCAGTGGCCTCCTTGGGCTCCTGGTCATGCCCTGCAGCAGCTTCATGCTCGTCTTTGTCCCCAGACGCTGATGTGGCCTCAGAGGTGGCTGACTCGATAGGGGCCTGCTCTACATCCTGCCGTTCGGCTGGCGCTGCAGCGCTGCTAGCCACCGAGACGTTTGCAATGAGGGGGACCTGACTTTGGGAACTTCCTGTTGGGCTATCCGTAGATCCGCTGTCGGCCACGTCACCCGGTGTGGGGATGCTGGCGGCTCCGGCCTCTTCCGAGGGCTCAGTGGTCATCTAGGCCCTCTGCCACTTGTGCTGGTTGAGGGAGTGGCCACGGCCTCACTGGGCTGAGTTGTCCAGGTGGTGAGGTCACAGGGGGCTGTGGGCAGCCAGCGATGTCACAGGCATCTGCAGAGCAAGGGTCCTGAGCCTCCTGAGTGACTGCCCTCGTGGGCTGACCCACAGAATGATCTGTAGCCAAGTTTGCAGGTGCATGAGGAGAGAAAGGCAGATGTCCTGGAAAAAGGTGGAGGTGTGTATACAGGTGCAGGTGCCCACAAGAAATCGTGATGGCTGTGTCTCTGATGAAAGAGGATAGGAGGCAGACGTTGATTTATAATCACTGGTGACTCGGGACCCTGATTTGGCCAGTCTGTCTGCAGAGTGAGTGAGTTGGAATCAGTGAGGGCTAAGGGCCTGGGCAGCGCTAGCCCTGCCCGTCTCTGGCTGTGGGGTGCTGTAGACTGAATGCTGAATGTTTGTGTTTCTTCCACCAAATTCACAAGTTGAAAGCTAATCCCCGACGTAACAGTGTTAGGAGGTGGGGCCTTTGGGAGGGGATTAGGTCACGAGCGTGGAGCCTTCGTGCATGGAATTAGTGCCCTTATAGGAGAGAGCCCAGAGAGCCCCCGACCCCTTCCTCCATGTGAGGACACAGCGAGAAGACGGCCGTCTAGAAAGTAGGAAGCGGGCTCTCACCAGACACCGAATCTGCCGGCGCCTTGACCTTGGACTTCCAGCCTCCAGAACCGTGAGAGATAAACTGCTGTTGTTTATGAGCCCCCAGTCTATGGTGTTGTGTTCTCGCAGCCTGAGCGGACGAAGATGGGGTTAACCCTTGTGGCACAGGACAAACAGTCTCCGTCTTCTCCCTGCTGGGCCGGGCCGGGAGAGCAGAGAATAACAAAAGAGCTGGGAGCCCGAGTGTCCTCGGAAAAGTGTGGACCCAGATGAACCTGCCCGCGCTCATGCTCTTCATTAAGAAGCGGTCGGAGCAGAAGGTCCCGGTCTTCTGTGTCCGTGCCTCCCCCGGGTCATCAGCTAAAACTTAGTGACTATTTATCACAAGCAGGAGATGGAGTGAGGCATCTAATCCTTGCAATTACCCCGTCATCTCTAAGGGGGTATGTAGCCTCTATTATACCCATTTCACACCCGGGGAAACAGAGCCTTGGAAGGATTAGGTGACTTATTCAGTCACACGATTAATAAGCACTGAATCTGGGATTTGAACCCTGTCTGGCTTCAGAACTCAAGCTCTCTAGCACTGTCTTATACCCAGGAGGGATACTAAAAATTTTGAGTGACTGGCATGCTAAGGACCCTGGCAAATGCAGACAGAGTCCTCCCATAATCCCATCACACCAGGTGGGACACAGCTGGTGCCACTTCTCCTGAGCACCAGGCTCAACGCTTGCTGAGTATTTCTTCTCCCCATGAATACTCTGCTGCCGTCTCAGAGGTCATAGGGCAAACCAAGTTTGGTGGGGTGGGAGGGACCACCTTGTGAAGGAATCATGGAGAAGACTGCTGGCTGCTCATCCTAACAGTCCTTCTTCATTAGTGTTAGAGCCCCAGTTTTATTCATGGTGGCCATGTGCTCAGCCAAAAAATACATTTCCCAGCCTACCTTGCAGCTAGGTGAGATCTTACAGCCACTGAGATGTAAGCAGAGAGTATTAAGTGGAACTTCAGAAAGGAACGCCTTTTTGCTCTTTCCCTTTATGCCATCCCGCTATCAGGAATGTGAAGGCTGGAGCACCAGCAGCCATATTGGTCCGGGAAGTAAGCTTGAGGTTGGAAAGCACACACTAAGATGATGGAGCACAAAGCTAGAAGGAATCTGGGTCCCATAGTTACAGCCACCATAGCAGCCCTCAGACCACACCAGACTGTTGCTGTCCTCCAGAATTCCTATATGTGAGGGAAAATAAACCACATACATACTCAAACTATTGTTATTTTGAGTTTTCTATTACATACAGCTAAACTTGAGCCTCATTCAATTCCCATAGTTATTAGATTCCTGTCAGGTGGTCGTTCCGTGCTTGGGTGAATGTCTTTGTGTCCTAACACTCAAGATCAGCACACTGTGTTGACTGCCTGGCACAGTACAGGTGTTATTTCAGGTGAGGAAACAGAGATTTAGAGAAACTAAGTACACAGCAAGTTACCTGGCATCTACCTGACTCCAAAGCTCGCCATACCCCACACTGCTCCCTGCTTCTAGTTAGGAAGTTCTTGATGTCGCGTCATGGACAGCACTATAAGCACTCTTCACAGGCACTGCAGCCAAACTCCTTCTCCTTACCTTCTATTTGGAATTTAATTTTTTTTTTTTTTTTTTGGTGAGGAAGATTAGCCCTGAGCTAACATCTGTTGCCAATCCTCCTCCACTCTGTATGTGGGTCACTGCCACAGCATGGCTTGACAAATGGTGCAGGTCTGTGCCCAGAATCTGAACCTGTGGACCTGGGCCACCAAAGCAGAGTGTGCTGGACTTAACCACTGAGCCATTGAGCTGGCCCCTGGAATTCAATTTTTGATTCTGCATTCTGCACTTTATATGTACCCTTGTTCACATGCCTTAAAAATCTGTGCCAAGGCAAGATAGAGGAGAATCAAGAAGGATTAATGTCAGAGAGCAGAGAGGATTATTAAAATTTGGGGACAAAAATATTGTTTACTTATAAGTAAATATTAAATAACATTGTTGTAGAACTTAATGTATATTTATCCTGTTATTATGTAGAATATAGACACACACACATACAAAAGAAAATTTATCTCAGAGTTTTTTCCCTTAATTTACTTCAAAAGTTTCCTGCCTTTATTAAGCAGGGTTCAGAGGAAGAAATTAGTCTGGGAAAATCTGTTTTTGATTTCTTTTCAACTCCTGTCTCATGGGGACAATGACTGTCCTACACTCTCTGAAGGGGGCAACACTCATGGTCCCTTTTTTTTTTTTCTTTTGTTGAGGCAGATTAGCCCTCTGCTAACATCCACCACCAATCCTCCTCTTTTTTGCTGAGGCAGACTGGCCCTGAACTAAAATCTGTGCCCATCTTCCTCTACTTTATATGTGGGACGCCTGCCACAGCATGGCTTGACAAATGAAGCATAAGTCCACACCTGGGATCTGAACCAGCGAACCCTGGGCCGCTGAAGGAGAATGTGCTAACTTAACCACTGCACCACTGGCCTGGCCCCTCAGGATCCCTTTTGAGAAAGCCCACGCTCCATGATTCCCCAGAGTCCACGCAGCTAGGCAGTTGGTAATGTGGCTACCGTGTGGCCTCTGGCGCTGAGCTTCCTGGGTTTGTAGCCTCCAGCCCTCCAGGACCAGTTCAGCCGACCCCGGCTCTTATCAACAGAGTGATGAAGAATTTTCTTTCAGAAAATCTGCAGAGTCATGCAGCCAGGGTGTGCGCAAAAGAAGAAATCTTGACCTGAAGTGACCGCAGAACCAAAGATCCTCCTTTGCAGGAACCCAAGGACCAGAACACGACCGGAACTTGAAAGTTGGACTCTTATCAGAAGCGAGGGGTCCCTCATTCAGGAAGATCTGATGTTAAAATTCCTTCCCCACCTCATCACAAATGTTTAGAACTCTTGCATAAATGCTTAGAACCTGATCAAAAATGTTTAGAACCTCATCATAAATGTTTAGAACCTCATCCTAAGTGTTTAGAACCTCATCCTAAGTGTTTAGAACCTCACCATAAATGCTTGAAGCCCACCAAGCAAAGCCTGTCCCACCAGCGTTTCCACGTGCCAGGCTGTTCTCCCTAACCTCTTAAATTTTGCCCCAAATCTGGAACTGGGGAGACAGATCTGAGGGCACACGCCCCCTGTTCTCCTTGCAGATCGATCTCGCAGAATAAAGCTGATCTCTTTCCCCAAAGGCTGATGCTGTAATTAATTGGCTGGTTATGTGCATGGGGCAAGAGAACCCCAGTTTTGTGTGGTAAGAGGTTCAAATCCTGCTGTTGACGCAAATTTTCCATAACCAACCTATAAATCAGAATTGGGGTGAGTTTACTCTGAGCCAGAGTGAGGATTATAACCCGGGAAGGCCTTAGAAGGCGTTCTGGAGAGGCGTGGGTTTCAGTACAATCTTACATCTTTTTAGAACAAAGAACATACATTAAACACACCCAGGGTACATTTTCAAAGAGGTATTCAGTTGCAAATTGGCAGGTCAACGTGACCATGACCATCACCAAGATGCCAGGAAAGGGACTAATCCTGGCGTTACCAATAGGGCGTAGCAGGGGAAGTCTGCATTCTTTATCTTAAGAGAGTGCATTCCTTACTTTAATGGATAAGCAGATGTACAATGTACGTTTGATAGACCATAAATTAGGCTTTCTAGTTCAAGCCGAATCAGTTTGGAACTTGAATAGTTACCCCATATACCTCAATATGTGAAAATCTCTTGGCACTGCTATAACTAGCTGTGTAACCTAAGGCAAGTTACTTAACATCTCTGTGCTTTGGTTCCTCCATCTGCAAAATGGGGACGATAATAGTCCTTACCTGTGGTATAGTGAAAAATATATACTTACTCTTTGTCCCAGGTTCCTGGCACAGAGTCCCTAAAACTTTTGGAATTACCTGGTAGGAGTGTCTTCTGTTAATCATAACAAGCCCTCCCCCCCCCACCCCTTTTGAGGAAGATTAGCCCTGAGCCAACATCTGCCACCAATCCTCCTCTTTTTGCTGAGGAAAAGTGGCCCTGAGCTAACATTCATGCCCATCTTCCTCTACTTTATATGTGGGATGCCTGCCACAGCATGGCTGTGATGAGGATTTTTAGGCTGGTTAGTTTTAAAACTACAGATGAGATTCAGGCTCCAAGGAGTGGAATTTGTTTGCCCCTTTGTTGGGAAACATTTACATTTCTAAGGGAACCCTCTATCTGTGAAAATGCCTCCCTCTCTGTGCCAGGAAGAAGGGGGGATGGTCTTATCTCTAGAAGCTCTTAGTCAATGCCAGAGGCAAGAACTTAAGTTGGTTACTGTCTGGCAACCTCATGTAACTGACCCCCCACCCCCCACCCCCCACGAATCCTCCTTTGTCTTTAGCCGAGGATAAAATTCAAGTGGTGACTTCTGACATTTACTCAACCCGGTTTGATTCTTATCTAAAAGTTGTGGGACCGCCAAATGGCCAGACCACACGGGCACTGATACCATTTTAACTTTTTTACATATTCTTTGTCTTGTAAAGAAATAACTCACATACCTATGCCTTAAATTTAGCCCTAACCCTCAACTCGGGGCAGCAGCAGGAGCTCTGACTGCCCGTGGGTCCTGTCCCCATGCCGGCAGCAGAAGCTCTGACTGCCCATGGGTCCTGTCCCCATGCTATTCCACACTATTCTCTAAATAAAAGAGCACTCCTGCCAGATCTTGAGAGTCTAAGAAATCTTTCTTTCGACTCCTCGGCTCACCAACCCCACATCAGCTGGACAAGTGGTGCCCAGGTCAATACCCAGGATCCAGGCTGGCAAACCCCCAAAGCTGAACGTGGGAATTGAACCGCTGCACCACCAGGTGGGTCCCCACAATGAGCCCCTTTTGACCATACCTGAGTTTATGCTAATAGGGTGACTAGTCAGCTTCCCCTGGGGAGTGGTTCCTGGAAGAACCAATCATGTGATCAGAGGGCTGGAACTGTCGCACCATCCCCAGAGCCCCAGGGAGGGAGTGGGGCCAGAGGTCGAGTTAATCATCAACGGCCAGTGTTTTAACCAATCATGCCTACGTAGGGAAACTTTGATAAAAACCCTGAAACAAGGCTAAGGGAGCTTTCTGGGGTGGTGAACACATAGGTAACCACAGGACCAGAATTTCCCACCCCAAAATATGCCTCTTTGGCATAAGGATTATTTTGAACTGCTGGTTATTAAGAAACAGCAGACACAGGAAAAGCTCTGAAAACCCAGTAGAAGTTAGCCTTTTTAAGAGAAATTTACATTTATCAGAGAAATCTCCACTTGTAAGGATGTCTCCGTCTCTGGGCCCCGAGGAGGAGGATGACTCTAAATCTTTAGAAACTCCTATCAGTGGAGAAGGCACTGATTTAAATCTGCATAACAGCTTTACTCTGTTTACTGTGCCCTTCCTGGTCACCTTGCATAGCTGGACCCCATCTTAACAACAGAAGGTTTAAGCTGTTTTTCACGGGCAGGGAGCCAGCCAGGAACATGTGCAGAAGAGAAAATTTTGACCTGCCAATCAAAGTTCATCCTGCCAGGGCTTCCGCATACCAGCCGGCCCTCCTTGACCCCTCAAACCTTACCCCAAACCTTGGATGGGGAGACAGAGTTGAGAGCTTGGCCTCCTGTCTCCTTGCCGGTTGACCTTGCAATAAAGCCTTTCTTCTCTCAAAAGCCAGTGTGCCTCGGTGTCGGCTTCTGTGCGTGTTGGGTGGCGAGCCCTTGCTTGGTACACATCCACCTGCTGGGAGGGTGGCTGCCCCGACTCCACAGGGACAGAAACTCCTGCTCTCACCCTTCCTGACCTCACCCTGTGAATCTCTCCATCTGGCTGTTCATTCATATCTTTTGTAATAAACTGTAGTCCTAAGCACAACGTTTTCCTGGGTTCTGTGAGTCCTTCTCATGAAGATGAGGGGGGCTGGGCAGAAGTGCAGGCAGCCTGGGGACCCCATTTGCAACTGGCACCTGAAGTGGGGGCAGTCTTGTGGGACTGAGCCCCTAACCTATGGGGTCTGTACTGAGTCTGGGTAGTTAGTGTCAGAACTGAACTGAACGGCTGGACACCCATTTGGGGTCGGCCCAACAGCATGGATGCACGAATGCAAGGAGGGGACGGAGATAAAGCGCTTGGGAGGCACAGAGCCCTGGGGAGTGTTGGACAGCATGGTGGTGATGATGATGATGATGGTAAGTCGTCTTCTTTTCTGGACAGGCTGCCTGTGGTCAGGGGCTCACGGATGACTTCCCCTTTCAAGAGTCTCTTCACCAAATGATCCCAAGATTCCCTTGGAGGGAATGTCTGCTTGTGGCGACTCCCAGGTCACTTCCCAGACCTCCCTCACTAGAATCCACACCCTGCTCCATGAGTCCTATTCCTGTGGTCCCTGCAGTGACTCAATACTTAGCCTTCCCTCACCAGGAAGAGTGATCCAGGGCGATGGCCTTCAC